GTGAACAAGAGGGTAACCTCCCTGGAAGGGTCCTGACTGTGGTTTGTGCTTATGCACCTAACTGCAGCTCAGACTACCCACCCTTTTCGGAGACCTTGGAGAGGGAGCTAGAGAGCGCTCCTTCTAGTGACTCCCTCATTCTGCTGGGGGACTTTAACGCTCATGTGGGCAACGACAGTGACACCTGGAGCAGTGTGGTTGGAAGGAACAGCCCCCCTGATCTGAATCGGAACAGTGTTGTGTTACTGGACTTCTGTGCCCATCATGGATTGTCCATAACAAACACCATGCTCAAGCCAATCTACATGTCTTTTGTTTGGAGAAGGTGTTTGACCGCGGCCCCCGGGAGGCCCTGTGGGGGGTTGGCCTGCAGTATGGGTCCCTGTATGACCGGTGTCAGAGCTTCGTCCGTATGGCCGGCATTAAGTCGGGCTCCTTTCTGCTGAGAGTTGGACTCCAACAAGGCTGCCGTTTGTTACTCAATCTGTTCATAACATTTATGAACAGGACTTCTAGGTGCAGCCAAAGTGTTTAAGGGATCTGTTTTGGTGGCCTAAGAATCAGGTCTCTGCTTTTGCAGATGATGTGGTCCTGTTGGCTTCATCAGAACGTGATATCCGGCTTTCACAGGAGAGGTTCACAGCCGAGTGTAAAGCAGCTGGGATGAGAATCAGCTCCTCCAAATCAGAGACGATGGTCTTAAATCAGAAAAGGGTAGAATGCCTTCTCCAGGTCAGGGACGAGGTCCTGCCTCAAGTGTAGGGGTTAAGTATCTCGGTGTCACGAGTGACGGAAAAATAGAGATCGATAGGCAGATTGGTGCTGCGTCTGCAGTGATGCGAGCGATGTATCGATCTGTTGTGGTAGAGAGAGAGCTCAGCTCTTGATTTACCGGTCGATTTCTACGTTCCTACATGTGTGCGATGATGACTAATTGGACTTTACTTTAGAAGCTCTATGCATCACGCAGGTGGCAAAAACATGTTAGTAAAACCTTTTAATTTAGAGGATGAAAAAACATTGAGGGATTTTGTGTTCATTTTGGCTAGCAATGTAAGGTAATAAATAAAATATATGAAATAATAATAATACGTGAAATTGCTGTATGCTTATAATGATTATTCATAGAAAAATCTATCTTTTGTTTAATACTGTTTTTTCAGTCATGTTAAATTCATGCCTTAATTGTATGTAGGGGACTAAAATGTGCTCCACCAATCGGTTGACCTGCCACCCATAAAGATCATTTGTCACAAATTCACATCAAACCCCCTTCTAGCCTCCAGATGGAGTGTTTGTCTTTTATCTTTCATCTAAATCTTGCTGCCGGTCCTGTACACGTGTTCTCCCCTCTGGTGGAGGATCTACAGGTATAAGGCCATTCCTATTCATTTATTATTGTGATATTGTTACAGTATATAATTACATATAGTCACTAAATTACATTAAACAATAAATAATAAAAAATAAGGGAAAAAAACAATGTCTAATTTCAGGCTTTAAAGCTGGGGTTGCTGGTCCTCAAGGCCACTATCCAGCATGTTTAGTTGTCTCCCTGTTTAAACACACCTGATTTTAATCAGCAGATGTTTATCAGTCTGAACAGGTAATTCAACCATTGAAGTGTGTTGGAGCAGGTAAACCACTAAAACATGCTTGAACAAAACCCTCAAGACCAAAGTTCAAGATCCCTGCTTTAAAGAGTAGAATGTATTAACCCATACGTGTGTAGATGGTTGGTGCAACTGAAGAAATTAAAGTGGTGTGGTAAATCTTGGGGCAAGTCAAGATGATCATTTAAATAAATGTTTGGATCTCCAGATGTGGGTTTCTGATTTTAAATCAGCAATTGCACCTGCAGCAGACAGAAGTCAGCATGATCTCAGGGAGAAGCTCCAGCTCGAAGTAGTGTTTCTGTGTGAAGATAATAAAAAATATCTATCATACCTGTTGTAGATGGCTTCCTGAGATGTAAAGTTTAAGTCCTTCATGACTGAAGAGCTAACGGCTAGTCTGAGCACAGATATTCAGTCATCTGTTTCTCTCATCATCAAGTTGTAGAACTTCTGGTTTGGCAGACATGAAGTTCTTAATTATTTTGTACAAAAAATCCATCTAATGCAAATTTTATGATGGTGTAAAAGTTCATAAAGTAAAATTTAAAAGACCTGAGGAGCTGTTTTACTGTTTGTGAGTTCATTCAGGTAGGGCTTGCTTTAATAGACCCAACTACAAAGTGTCCATTTAGTAAAAATAATGGTTGGTTCATTTTTGAGGATAAATCAAAGCAAGACAAGATATAAAAAATATCACAAGCTGTCTCCAGAGTGGAAATAAGAGTGTGAGTCGTCTTCGATCAACTGTTTCCTCTCTCAGGGAAATCCATTCATCTTTCGTGCACTGGCCTCAGATGAAAACGTGTCTTTTGTCCTTCCACGCTTTCTGTCCATCTCTTGTTACAGTAAGATGACTGCAGAAAAGAGGGTAGAGAGTCCCATCCCAGTTCTGCCACTGTCCACGCCAGATGTAGAGACAGAGAAGCTCATCAAAATGAAAGACGATGAAGTGAGTGGTATAATGAAAAGCCTCACACTCTCAGTTCTGTATCACAGCAGATGTTATATAACACCGATGTGAACTGATGGCCTATATGTGATATTATGTAAGCCATCTCTCTTCCTGCTCTCATTTCTGTGTTTCTGCAGCTGAGGAGGATGCAGCAAATGCTTCAGAAGATGCAGCAGCAGATGCATGAGCAGGACCTGTGACCTCTTACCTTTCTGTCATGGCGATAATAATCTCTCACAGTAATCCTCCACTGATGCCCTTCTATCAGGGATGAAATCTTTATTCACTTTCAAATCACTGCTCTCATGTACAAAACAACGAACGACAGTATGTTTTCTTTTGAATGCAATCAGTAGCCAAGTGAACCTAGATAGGCAATAGAGAATAGCTAGCACTTAACCTTTAGACCACATTGTGTTCTGCACTTGAAGCACTGGTCACACTTTGTGCTTCTTAATAATTTTGAATATCCTCCCTAAATGAATGCAAAACAAACAGTTCAATTCAAATGATGTTGTTAATCTCATGATATTATTTTTGCTATATCTGATTATGTTTAATCAGTTATTTTAGCAGATTAGATGTGGGCAGGAAGGATCTGGATCTGAAAGAGCCTCTGATCAGGTTTTTCATCATGTTCTTTTTATAAGGTATTCTCCTTTAGTCATTCAGATCCAAAGACCACAGAACTGAAGTACGAACATTCTAATACACTGCCCACCAAAAGAAAAGTTCAAACACTCTAAAATTTTATTGGACTGCCTTTAGCTTTGATTACAGCATGCATTCACTGTGGCATTGTTTTGATTAGCTTCTGCAATGTCACAAGATTTATTTCCATCCAGTGTTGCATTAATGTGTCACCAAGATCTTACATTGATGATGGCAGAGTCTGACCACTGCACAAAGCCTTCTCCAGCACATCCCAAAGATTCTCAATGGGTTTAAGGTCTGGACCACGGCTTAATTTGAGCCGGATCTTGCCCGAACTAGATCCGGGAACTGTCTTATTTTGAAAGTACCGTTCTGGCAACTGTCTGCTAGGTTCCGGCAACTCACGCGACCAACTTGTGCTATACGCAGGGTCCGAATTACGGGTGAGCTAAAATTCAATTCATTTCAATTCAAAAATACTTTATTAATCCCAGAGGGAAATTGATTGCTGTAGTAGCTCAGAATAATAATAATAATAATCAAGTCAACAAAGAGTTATTGTATATTACAATGGCTGTTGGCAGGAAGGATCTCCAGTAGCGGTCAGTGTTGCAGCGAAACTGAAGAAGCCTCTGACTGAAGACACTCTTCCGTTGTTGGACAGTCTTGTGAAGAGAACGCTCAGGGTTGTCCATCATTTTCTTGATTCTCTGGAGAATCCTTCTTTGCATCATCTCCTCCAGTGGTTCCACAGTCGTCCCCAGAACAGAACCAGCCTTTTTTATTAGGCTGTTGAGCCTTTTCAGGTCCCTGCTTCTGATGTTACTAGCCCAACAGACGATGGCTGAAGAGATTACAGTCTCAACAACAGACTTGTAGAAGATCTGCAGCATCTTGCTACAGACACTGAAGGACCTAAGCGTCCAAGAAGTGCAGTCTGCTGTGCCCCTTCTTGTGAACAGCTTCGCTGTTCTTTCTCCAGTCCAGTCTGTTGTCCAGGTGAACTCCAAGGTATTTGTATTCCTCAACCACCTCCACTTCTTCTCCCATGATGGAAACAGTGTTTGACTCCACCCTGTTTCTTCTGAAGTCTAAAATCATCTCCTTTGTTTTGTTCACATTCAAGGTCAGATGATTGTTTCCACACCATGCCACAAAGCGCTCCACCAGCTCTCTGTACTCAGCTTCCTGTCCATCTCTGATACACCCGACAACTGCAGTCATCTGAGTATTACTGTAGATGACAGGTCTCTGATTTGTACTGGAAGTCTGAGATGTACAGGGTGAAAAGGAATGGTGAGAGTACAGTCCCCTGTGGTGCTCCAATGTTACTGATCGCCTGGTTTGATGTGCAGTTCTTCAGCCTCACAAACTAGTCTGTTTGTCAGGTAGTCTTTAATCCAAGCGATAGTTGAGGCCCCCACCTGTGTCTTCTGGAGTTTCTGGCAAAGTACATCAGGCTGTATTGCGTTAAATGCACTAGAGAAATCAAAGAACATGACCCTCACAGTGCTGCCTGCTTTGTCCAGATGACAATGGATTGGTTGAAGCAGCTGGATGATGGCATCTTCAACTCCAACTCCATGGCGATAAGCAAACTGCAGCGGGTCCTTATATGTCCTAGTTTGCTTATTCAGGTGGACCAAAAGGAGTCTCTCCAGGACCTTCATGATGTGGGATGTCAGGGCAGCCAGTCTGTAGTCGTCACTGACTGATGGGCGAGTTTTCTTTGGAACTGGAACAAGGCAGGATGGCAGCCTTGTTCCTGTTCAGTCTCTCCAGCTGCCTCTTCATCTGACTTCTAGAGACAGATAGGTGGGAGGGAGAGGTAAATGGGGCAGCAGCATCTCCTGACTTGGTTGAAGACAGATTTATAGAACCAGAAGAGTCCATGACTGCGTTAGAGGAAAAAAGAGCTGGCGTGTGACAGGAAAATGTTGGATCAGAGAAGGATGGGATGTAGGGTTGTCACGGTATGAAAATTTAACCTCACGGTTATTGTGACCAAAATTATCACGGTTTTCGGTATTATCGCGGTATTTTTTAAACGGTGTTGCATATGTTCAGAAAGCATTGATAGTCCTGTTCTACACAAACTGAAATAGTTTTGAAAAGGTTTAACAGTGTTTATTAAACCTAAAATAACACAAAGCCTTAGCAAAAGTGCAACTTTTCACAAGTAAAGGAACAAATAGCTTCTTTTTCTGGAACATGTTACAGTAGACAGTGCAGGTTTAAATTATACAAATCCAAACATTCAAATCATAAACAATATGTAAACAAATCAAAGAATCATCACTTGTTTTCTCATATACTTGTTTTCTTCATTATCAAAATGAAAATCTAAAACTCCAGTCCACACTTGACTTGAGCACTGTACAAGTCAACCTTAAAAAAATATGTATTTAAAATAAATAGCCACTTTAAACAAATTACTAAAATAACTACTACACTATGTAATCAAATCCAAATGTTCAAGTATAAATGGCATTGAATAATTAAACAAATCAATGACAAGGAACTAATTGTATATTTCTCTTCATCATCAACAAATAAGATGCTTCATCCAGCAACAGGGTGTCCGTGACACGGTTTAAATGCTGGCAGAGGGCGCTGCGGCTGCAGGATATAGTGACTCGTTGCATTCTCCCTCAACCAAAAGTCCTCACGTCATGCATTTAAGCTAAAATGCTAATGTTAACTTACCTTGCACTGGCTGTAGAGACGTGGGTGATGGTCACGCAGATGTGCCATTAGATTCGAAGTGTTGCTGCCTTTTGCAGACACTTGTTTCCTGCGCGTTCTGCAAACGGGATAGCCGTCTTCCATTAACTGTCCCTCAGCGTTTTTCAGAAATCCAAAATATGCCCATACTTCCAATTTAGTCTTCTTTGAGGGCTGATGGATGTCCTGGGCGCTGCCGTCTCCTCCTTCGGCCATTATTTCAGCTTCAAAGTTTTGGTGCCGTTGCAAACTAAAAAGTGCGTGTGTGCGCCGCGGGAACTTCAGCTGAAGCGACGGTGGCTGGTAAGGGTCACCGCGCTGAAACCGCGGCCACGGTAAACCCACCGAGATAATTTAGTTTTTTAAAAACTGGACGGTTATTTTTATTGTCAACTTTTTTACCGGGTTTTACCGCTATACCGGTTACCGTGACAACCCTAATGGGATGTCTGATTGGCTGGGTTTGGCTGGGTTTGTTCCTGAACTGAACCTATTGAAGAACTTGTTCAGTTCATTGGCTGTGTCCAGGCTGCCATCTGTGCAATCCTTCCTCTGCTTGAAGCCTGTGATCTTCTTCATCCCTGACCAGACATCTCTGATGTTGTTCCTCTGTAGTTTGTTCTCCAGCTTCTTCCTGTATGCCTCCTTGCTGTCTCTGATCTTGATCTTCAGTTGTTTCTCTATACTCCTCAATAATTCCCTGTCTCCCTCCTTGAAGGCTCTTTTTTTCTCTTTTAGCAGATTCTTCAGTTCACTGGTGATCCAGGGTTTGTTATTAGCGAAGCATCTCACTGTTCTGGTGGGTATGATGTTGTCCACACAGAAGTTTAGTCAGTAACACATCCAGTCATGGCATTGATGTCCTCTTCATATCCTTGGCAGAGAGTCATCCAATCTGTGGTCTCAAAACAACCCTGCAGGGCTTCTTCAGCGTCCTGTGACCATTTTCTCGCAGTTCTTCTTGTCACATGTTGCCTCTGAACAAGTGGTTTGTATTCTGAGCAGAGAAAAACAAGACTGTGATCCGATTGTCCCAGAGGAGGTCTTGTTTGGGACATGTATGCATTCTTTACATTTGCGTAATACAAATCCAATGTCTTGTTTTCTCTGGTGGAGCAGCTGACAAACTGTTGAATTGTTGGAAGTGTAGCAGAGAGCGAGGCATGATTAAAATCACCAGATATAGCCATAAATGCATTGGGGTGCTGGGTTTGTAGCTTAGCGACAACGGAACTGATGGCATCACATGCATTTTCAGCAGTGGCTGAAGGTGGAATATAAATGGTTGCCAAGACAACACTGGTGAACTCTCTTGGCAAATAGTATGGGTGACAACTTACTGCCAAGAATTCAACATCTGGGCTGCAGAGACGACATTTCACTGAAACATGACTTGGATGGCACCATCTGTTGTTGACAAGCACTGCCACTCCACCTCCTTTTCTTTTCCTGCTTCTCTTCAGATCTCTGTCTGCTTGTACAGTCAGGAATCCTGGCAGAGATATGCTGGAATCGGGGATATGGTCCTGCAGCCACGTCTCAGTGAAACACATAACACTGCACTGCCGAAACTCTGGCTGGGTCCTTGAAAGGGCTTGGAGCTCCTCCATCTTGTTGGCCAGTGATCTCACATTGCCCATTATGATCGATGGAAGAGATGGTTTGGATTTCCTCTTTCTCTGCCTCTGTTTTGCTCCCGCTCTGCACCCATGCTTATTGCGTTTTAGCTCATTTGGGATTTGTGGCTTCAGTTGAGGTATTATTTCAGCCTTTCCTATGTTAATCAGCTGTTCCCAATTGTAAACCAGCTTGTTGCCATGGTTATGCATCATAACAAATGCTCAAAAAGTGAAAAAAGTTAAAAATAGCAGTCAAAATCCTCCAAGCTTCACAGCACCAGAAACAGAAAAGTAAAATGTCCAAAAAATATACTGTTTTTCTTGAGAAACTAGAAGAAAAAATGTCCAAGAAAAGGCTAAACTTACATGTAGTCAACAGAGCTACTCCAACATGCAGCCACCCAGAGCAGCGCAGTTCCGGAATCTCCTTCCTGGAAGCCTTCAATTTACACACCCAGGGGGAGCCCGAGAAAGATCCTGGGTCTACTTTTATTACATTATTTATGTGGACTTATTTTACATTACTTATATTACATTATTTATGTGGACTCTCTGGGGATTATTACATCGTTTATGTAGGCTCATATCCTTTTATGCTTTTTGTCTTTTATTTGTGCCTGATGCGTTTCGCTGCTGCGGAGTCGAGTGCATCACCTCACCTGTTTTGTCCTCCGGTGACTTCACCTCACTGGTGATGATCTTTTTGAGCTGCAGTTCAAAGGTAACTCATAAGGTGAAAATATATGAAGCCAGGTAGCAGTTTTTCTTTAGGATTGAGAGGACATGCAGGAAGATAATAAACAGAGACAGGACAGAAAAATAGTCAAATAAAAACAAGTTTGTTTTTGTACCTGGTGGTTGCAACAAACAGACACCATTGAAGGTAATCAGAAGTGAGGAACAGAAAATGAAATTGTTCTTTCAATGTTTGGATCAACAGAAAATCTGAGAGGCTGCAGGCGCACCAGTGACTTTGCAGCCGCTGCACAGGGGGAGGGGGGAGAGGGCTGAAGCAGGGGAACAGTAAAGATGCAAAAACTACCATTGTTAAAAGAAATGTGTGTTAACTTTGAAAATGTGGATGCATGTTTTAATTACTTGTCAAAAGCTCAAGTGACACCCCCCCCCCCCCCACCCCCCCACCCCCCCCACCCCACCCCATGTTCCGGCATCTGCTTTACCTTTAGTGAACTTTGGTTTGACATCAGTATTTGTGTTCCAGGAACGTTTGATTTACAAATTAAGCACTGGTCTGGACTCTGTGGTGGCCAATCCATGTGGGAAAATAATGTCTCCTGCTCCCTGAACCACTCTTTCACTATCTGAGCCTGATGAATCCTGGCATTGTTACCTTGGAATATGCTCGTGCCATCAGGGAAGATGGAATAACCAGGTCATTCAGTATATTCAGGTAGTCAGCTGACCTCATTTTTAGAGCACATTCTGTTTCTGAACCTAGACCTGACTAAGTGCAGCAACCCTAGATCATAGCACTGCCCCCACAGGCTTATACAGTAGGCATGATGGGTGCATCACCCCATCTGCCTCTCTTCTTACCCTGATACACCCATCACTCTGGAACAGGGGCCAACTGGACTCATCTGACCAGTTTTTAATAATGTGTTGGACAGTTCTTAACCCAGTTTTAGTCATTTCTGCAATCTCCTTAGATGTTTTCTCTGCTTGATGCATGCTAATGATCTGACCCTTCTCAAACAGACTAACATCTTTTCCAAGACCAGCAGACGTTTCTTTCCACGTGGTTGTTTAAGAAATGAGAAGCAACCAGTTGGGGTTAAATAATTTGTCACCCATGCAGCAATTAACCAATAGGAAGCTCCTACCTGTTTGCTTAGTTAAATCCAAGTGGTGACTTTTATTTTGGCCAGATAGTGCAGTTTTTTATACAACAGCCCTAAATGTGACACTTACAAATTAGCGTCGGTACAGTCCCTTACTACACTGTACGGGACCAGAATTTAGTTTTACACATGGGTCAGATTTGGGTTTTCGGTTCTGAGGCAACACTTTTTTCAGATCTCCTCCGCAGCGGTCAGACTGGGACTGAGTTGACACTACGGACTGGTTAGTTGGCTAAAATTACAACTACCCCCTCAGATCAGCGACTACAATCATCCAGCAGGGGGTTCCCGCATGCGCAATTCATTTTTATGCTGGATGCTGTTAAGTAAACTTCTGTCTGTAGCACGGAGCTGCCAATCAGTGGGAAAGGGAGAAGGGAGTGAGTGTGTGTGTGTGTGTGTGTGTGTGTGTGTGTGTGTGTGTGTGTGTGTGTGTGTGTGTGTGTGTGTGTGTGTGTGTGTGTGTGTGTGTGTGTGTGTGTGTGTGTGTGTGTGGCCTGCAGCAGCGGAGCACAAGATTATGAGGACACACACAGCAAATTAATAAAATAATGTGGTTCAGAGTCTCCAAAAGCAACACAGCTTAAGCCCACCTTTGTTTACCTTATTATGGAGGACACCACGGACTTTCCAGCGCGTATTAAACACCGCCCACTGGCTCGGGTTTTCCGCATTCCTGAGAAGTCCTTCGGATTTAAATGTGAAAACTACACTAGACCAGACCAAACTCACACCATCCAGCCCCAACAAACCCTGACCATACCGACGCTAATGTGTAAGCACCAATAAAGTTTTTCACAATTAAAGAAGCTGCCAATGCTCACATTACCCAAGTCAGCCAGCAAGATGAAAAGATGGATAAATGCTAAAAGACCATTCAGGGAGCACTTTTTAAAGCCTTATCAGATAGGTCACTATAATACCCTTACAGTCTTTACCTTGCCACCATGTTTCATAAAGTGTGTTTTCCACTTCTGTGATATGATGAAGAGGAGCCCCTTTTTAAGGCTTGTCCTTAAAAGCACCAATAAAACTAGCCGACAGTGACAGATGCACCATTGGTTGGAATAGAGCTCTGCACCATTGACCAGCCCCCCTCTGTTGGTTCAGATGTATGTCGGTGATGACTACTCCCTCATTTCTGCCTTGGTTCTTATGCAAGCCACACCAAGGTTTTGCTAAAGAAGCTGTAAACAAATAGTAAGCATGCCAATAACTTCATCTATATAAAGTGTATTTAAACTTTTATATATTTGGGTATGTAAATGTTGGTTTAATATATTACAGGTATCTTTGCATATCTGTCTGAATGTAAAAAATCTGAAAACCAACAGTTCTGGCCAGCTTTAGGTCCTAATAGTTCACTGGCAGGGTGAAAAGTTTCATTCAAGCTGAATAAGACCCAACTAAAAGGGATTAATGTTAAGTTTTATGGTTCATAGTAGATCATATTTAGAACTTGTAAAATATCCATAATCTTCTGCCTTTATAGCAAACTAAATGCTGGACATCTGCTCAGCTTGTCCTCATCTCTCTACATCTGATGCTGCAGTCATCAGTTAGGAAATGGAAACACTGATGATGGATGGATGTGAAACCCCAGCAGCCAGTCCTGTTCTAAACAAACATGGTGCTCTGGTACAACAGTCTGTGTAAGATGTAATAATGAAAAGTGAAGACGATTCCCTCTTTGTTTCAACTACTCGCTGCTCCACATGTTTGCTTCAGAACTTGATCTTCAGCCATTCTAATGGACCAGTGCACCTCCAAACATCCCCTTTTGTCACTAGTCAGCCCACACTGCATGCACACATTAATATTATAACTAATACTGACTGGATGTTTCAGTGGGATTGTTTGTTGTCTTCAGCTGCAGCACAGCTTAGATGTTTCATGTTTAATTACATTAGATGAATTAGACTCATTGGTGAATGGCAACAACACGTTTCATTCATAAATATAACGCCACAGATTCATTAGGCTTATGGGCAAACTAAGAAAAGGAAAACAACCTGCATTCAGATTCTGTCTGACTCTGCTGAACTCCACACTCAGGATGTAAGGATTGCCTTGTTTCTCATTAGTTTTTTATGGTACACTCCTGAAAAAGAAAAAAAAAAGATCACTTACTTTATCCTATTTGTTACTTTTGTTTCTGACCTGTGATTGCACTGTAAAAACTACATTATGTGCTGGTTTCTAATAAACGTGTTGATAATGTGTTGTGTTTGGCTTTTCATGTCTTATGTCACAATAGTCCTTGAGCAATGTCTTCTGAGTGGCTTTAGATGATAAAGATGTTGACCTTTGTCAGGATAAGAGTGTTGATTAAACAGAGCTATAATCTGAGTGAGCTTTAATCAGCCAGCTGTCCCCACATCCCTATGACTGGACACCAAGAATTACATTTGAAATGGATGGCTGAAATTACAATATGCCACATGTAGCATTTTTGCAGCTATGCTTTGACACATTTTTAATTTTTGTCTGTTATATTTTGCCACTTTTACGAAATATGCTCAAATATATGGCGGCTGAAATGAGAAACGATCAGTTTGGAAAATAAATGGTTTCTATGCAAAATTACAGACTGGTTCCAGCAGAATGATACTAATCATACCATACCAAATGTATTTACAGCACATTTAAAAACAGGATGGAAACTGACCAAAGCGCCTCCCAACATAAAAACAAACATAAAATGCCAATGAAACAGTCAGATACAGACAAAAGCCAATAAAAGCTGATCAAAACAGCAATAAAGGAAAGATAAAAATCATAATCTAAAAGCCAAATTGTAAAGGTGAGTCTTCAGGCGTGACTTGAAGATACCAATGAATGGTGAGTGGCAGTGCATCCAGAGTGTGTGAGCAACATACATGAAAGCTTGACCCCCGTCTTGTAGTGCATTGTCGGGGTGCAGAGCAACAGTTGGTCTGCTGAACGTAGCGAGCACACTGACATATAGGGGTAAGACCGGCCGGTGCCAGACCATTCAAAGCTTTGTATGCAAACAGCAGGCTGATGTCATACCTGCCAATGCATGTGTGTGTGTGTGTGTGTGTGTGTGTGTGTGTGTGTGTGTGTGTGTGTGTGTGTGTGTGTGTGTGTGTGTGTGTGTGTGTGTGTGTGTGTGTGTGTGTGTGTGTGTGTGTGTGTGACTGACTTGTAATGTGTGGAGTGGCCATTTCCATATTGTTGGGACATTTTGCTGCATGGTTTACACAATGCAGAGCACCCTAATACATGCTTTTAGCCCTTTGATGCATAATGGTCACTACAGTGGACAGGTACTCAAAATTGTTATTTCTTTATTTTCACTATTAAGCACAGCTGTTGAAGACTTTATTGCATGTGAGCCCCTCCATTTGGACTTCAGTAAGTCAAGCCAACATATTTCATGTTCAGAATGCACTCTGTCCACTGAGATGGACATGTAATAAATTATTTGTAAATTAACAAAATGTAACAAAAAATATTTGTTGAAATTTGGTTCATTCACACCTAAAGATGAATGAAAAAATTGTTTAAAAAATCATGGTTGAAGATTTCATAATTCATGCATCAGAGGGTTAAAGGTATGGTGTGAATTGGTGTTTAGGATAGCGTTAGAAATAGAACCCCATTAGTTATGGTTCGGGTATGTTATTATATAAATATGAGTGTGTGTGTGTGTGTGTGTGTGTGTGTGTGTGTGTGTGTGTGTGTGTGTGTGTGTATGTGTGTACTTGTGGACAAATTGGAACTTTTAACCTGTAGTGTGTGGACATTTCCACATTGTGGGGACATTTGGCTAGTCCACACAATGACAAAATGTACCCTTAAACGTGGTTTCAGAGGTATGGTGGGAATTAACTTTTAATTTAGATTAGGGTTAGAAATAAAACAGCGTTTCAGAAAGAAAGGGTCAAGAGTATCCAGTTTGGCTGATTTATGAGGACCTAACCTCAAGTAACTTGATTTTATTTAGGCCTGGACCTAAAACCACGCTGGAGCCAACCTCCTCAGACCTATGATCTCGGCTCCTCACTCTGCATCAAGTAGCAGACCCTTCCAATTACCTTTATCTCTTATCTCAAACCCCACAAATATATGCTGTTTTTAAGCCACAGCTCCTCAGCCATGTGGCAGCAATCTTGATTTGAAATTGGGCCCCTGGGGTCTTCCTAGCTCCGATGAAAGGTCTTGTGATTAAAATAAAGTTTTTAAGCTTGGTTTATGCTTGACGCATTCACTTTCCACTTGGTGATGCGGCTCGCGGATGGAACGCGCTTCACAACTCACAGTGTTTATGGTTCATGCGGCTTGTCTCTGCGGTGAGCCAATATTCTTCCAAACTGAACGGGGCAGCATGGAGCTCTACGGCATGCATCCAACACTACACCATAGTAGAAGTAGAAATGACTGTTTACAACATGGCATTCCAGCATTTTTAACAGTGTCCTCGTCTTTTCCGACAGTGCGAGCTATTTCTCTTCAAGAATTATTAACAACACGTTGATCACGGTGATCTTTGAGAGCTGAATCATAAATGTCTGTATTTACGAAACTCTGTCATACTAGAGCTTGGTTTATGCTTGACGCATTTACTTTCCGCGCGGTGATGCGGCTCGCGGATGGAACGCGCTTCACAACTCGCAGCGTTTATGGTTTGTGCGGCTCGTCTCTGCGGTGAGCCAATATTCTTCCAAACTGTAGGGGGCAGCATGGAGCTCTACGGCATGCATCCAACACTACACCATAGTACAAATAGAAATGACTGTTTACAACATGGCATTCCAGAATTTTTAACAGCATCCTCATCTTTTCCGACAGTGCGAGCTATTTTTCTCCAAGAATTATTAACAACATGTTGATCACGGTGATCTCTGAGAGCTGAATCATACAAATGTCTGTATTTACCAACCTCTGCCATACTAGTTCTTGCCGGTCCGCCATGTTTTTCCGCGTCCGTCCGTCCACGTGGTTAGAAATTTTCCGAGGTGCGCGTTGCGGAAATTCTGGGCCGTGTGGAGGCGCGGTGGAGGGGCGTGGTTGTTAAAATGATGCAAAATGACGCAACTTTTCCGCGCGGAGCTGTGCGGACCTCGCGGACGCGTCAAGCATAAACCAACCTTAGTTCTTGCCGGTCCGCCATGTTTTTCCGCGTCCGACCGTCCGCGTGGTTAGAAAATTTCCTAGGTGCGCGTTTCGGAAATTTTGGCCCATGCGGGGGCGCGGTGGAGGGGCGTGGTTGTTAAAATGACGCAAAATGACACAACTTTTCCGCTCTGAGCCGTGCGGACCTCGCGGACACGTCAAGCATAAACCAACCGTAACCCATCACAACCTAAACAGAAACCCTCTTATCTTTCCTACAGCTTTATGAATAACTTGGCGGTTTGCAGTGGCAGTGGCACACATGCCTCGGCAGGGGCGTAGCACCAAATTCTGGGCCCTAGGTACAAGTCTTCTAGGTGGGCCCCCATGCTCAATTACTTAATATCTCTCTTACACATTTTTTGTCATGCTATAAGACAAGATAATAACTATGATCTTAGTTTAACCTCTATATTGAGCAAATACAAATGCCAGCATAATAAAAGTGAAATGCCCAGACTTCACATATAATTATTTTTATTTGCCAACAATGTGTTCAAACAAAAATCCTGGAATTTATTTTCCAGTAAATGCCCACTGACAGGTCTTCATGTTAGCAAAATCACTTATGAGATCTTTAAAGTCCAATCCTTTGGCTAATTGGCTTTCAATAGAAAGAAGAGCTAGGCTGTTCAGACTATCCTGGGACATTGTTGATCTCAAATAATTTTTCACCAGTTTCAGTTTGCTAAAAGTCCGTTCACCCCCAGCAACAGTCACAGGTAGTGTGCAAAAAATCCTCAGTCCAATACAAACTTCTCCAAAAATGCTCTGTAATTGCATCCTGTATGGCATTAAGCAGCTCAAGAGGAGACCGACTGTGTGGAAATGTGGCACCATATATTGTTCTCAGGTGTAGCATCTCATTCTCAAATTCAGCTGTGAGATCCTTGTAATATTTTCTCATCAGTGCCTGGCATGATATCTTCATCTGCTCTTCAGTCATGTCTGTCATGGTTCATTATGTTAAGTTTTGCTGATATGTATTGATATATTAAATACATATGACATGAAATAAACCAGGTTCTCTCTGTGAATGTAATGTACTCTAAATTTTATAATCCCTGCATTATCAGCCAAATTATAAGATTGTCCGTTTTCAAGATCAAATATAAAGAAATTTAAAATAGGCTTAAAATATCTAACCAAGTCAATAACAATCCTCTAACACCAGTGTCATCATGCTATACGAAAAACAGTGGCAGCTTCTCATTCCTGAGATTACCACGAATCCATCGATACCAAGTTTGTCCTGGTCCATGACTGGGAAGGAGCTGAAATATTCACACAGAGTGAACCTGTTTTTACTGCGAGTCCGCGAATTAATTGGCGGCGGCTGCCCGCGATAATAATTCTGATTAATATATATAAATTAATTAGTGTTTTCACTGATAACACTAATTAATTTATATTTGATCTTGATGGTGAAACTAAAGGTGTTTAACACTGAACACCTAACATGAATGCAGCTTCTGAGAGCTAGCTAATATCAGCTAAAACTGTGTTCTGCTGCTGCTGGCTGCTGCTCACCTTCCTTCTTGAAAAACCTAGTCAATAATTGCTTCTGTTCAATTAACTTTTTCTCCTTCTCCTTCTTTTCTTTTCTGGAAGCCAGATTTCCCTTTCTTGGGAAAATACATGACTGACTCTCCTGCCTCCAGCTCTGGCTGTCAGCATCTGTGATGTCTCTCTAGCTGTACACGCGGCCGTGCAGCCCCTGGCCGCTGGTGTGGACTAAACCACTTTGCACATTTTTAAGGGGTGATAGATGCCTCAGAGATTATTCAGTTATTATTTTTAAGGCGAGATTCTGTTTCTTAACCTCTTTATCCAGGTAAAGGGAAGTTTATTAAGACATTAAGTAAGTTGGGGGGAAAAACAACAACAATAAAACATTTTTATTCAAAGCTGTCTCAGGGCCCCTCCCTGCAGTGGGCCCTGGGTAAACGGTACCCTTCCCCCCCCCCCCACCCCCCACCCCCACCCCCCCCAGTCCGACGCCCCTGTGCCTCGGTGCTGAAATATGTTCAGACCGGCCCTGCGCTCCCGCCTGTCGCTGCTGGGGTCATTAATGTGTGTGCAGCTCTCAGATCCGTGCAGCCGAACATGCTTCTCGTTTAAGCGCGTTTTCCTGGGCGTGATGCGGCTCTGTGCGGATTTCTGAGTCGGAAAGATGGAAAGGAGCGACGGGGACGATGAGAGCTGCTCGTCCCAGCAGAACACGATGTGGAAACAGCTCCAAGCCAAAGCCAAGCCGCTGCTCAGCCCCAAGGCAGGCGCCCGGGACCCGGACGACAAGAAGGAGCGGGGCGTGTGGATGTTCAAGAAGATGAAGAGGAAGAAAAACGTCGCCCTGGACCGGGTGATCTCCTCGTCGCAGCCCGACCTGCTCTTCTCCTCACAGCTGGACGTGGAGGCGCAGGAAGCGGCTCAGCGCTGCGGCAAAGCGGCCGGGAGCGGCTCGGTTCTCGGTCGGGAGAAGATGCTCTCGTCCGTTAAGCGCAGGTCAGCTGGCATGGATAAACCCACGGTGGCTCAGCTGGTGCAGTCCCACCACAAGAGCTCTTCACTGGGGTCCGCATGCCTGGAGCGGCTGGCCGAGCCGCCGAGCGGCAGCGGTGGGGAGGAGGCTGCTGCAGCGGTGGAAACACATCTGGAGAGAAATCAGGAGCGCCCGGTGAGTTAGACCTGTTAATACCACCGTTCATGGGCTTTGGAGAGTTTTACTGTGACATGTGAGCCTGAAAGCGTGAACGCAGGAATTAAAACCCACTGGACTCTAAATGCAAAATGATGCCGGTGTGGAAGAGAATAAAACCATTCTAAACATCAGTGATGACGAGGCTTACAATTAGTGGCTGTAACTTTATTCAGCTATGGTTTTATTATGAAGTCCCGTTGGGGAGAAGAAAAAAACAACAACACAGCTTCCTTGAATGAGTCTGAGCGTCAACAGAAGCAAACATCTCAGATAAATTCATTTAAAGGCATGACTTTAGTATTTCACTGCTTACACTAAAATCAGCTGCAGGGAAATCTCCACACAGATAGGACATCATGATATTTCCCACTAAACTGTGTATGTAATTAAACAGTTGGGAAGGACACATTTATTTTACTTTCTTTTGAAACAAACTTTTACTGAAGCCCGTTTTTGTGTTAATATGAGAGGTCACCACAAGCCCTGATCAGCATCCCTCCTCAGAGATGTACCTCTTCAGCACATGACTAAACTTAAGTGATAATAGAAGCTACTTTGGTTAAATGTTGAGATGGACGGGACTCAATACATGAATCCCTGTCCACGTATACAAATGTTAAAAGTAAATCATTTTGTTCATTTGTTGATGGCTGCTCACTCCTCCTGTGCAGCATTCAGTCAACACAAGTCCAGTTTTAACATCTGGTAACAATTTGAATGAATCATGATGATTGCATTTGTTCTAATGACTAAAATTCCTTCACTGTGTTTACATATTTGAGGTTTTTTACAATAGAGCAGCCTGATTTTAGAATAAACAGGGTCACTGTTCACAGTTAAAGCCCATTCTGGCAACACATCTGTGTGTGTGTGTGTGTGTGTGTGTGTGTGTGTGTGTGTGTGTGTGTGTGTGTGTGTGTGTGTGTGTGTGTGTGTGTGTGTGTGCGCGTGTGTGTGTGTCTGTGTGTGTGTTGTTTTGGAACGCTTTGTCCATGTGGGCGATAATTATAAATCTATTTCCATCAACTGTTATCTCAGTCATTGTTCAAGAGTTCATATTAGCCTACTGCTAATGCTAAGCTAATTCATTAGTCTGCTGTGGTCCCAGTGTTTTTATCACTTTTACAGTGGTTTGCTTTTTATATGGAGTCACACTTTCATATTTATTATCCTGACATCATCTTTTTAACATTTAAACCCTTTCACAATGACCTCAACTCAGAGTGCAAAACATCAAAAACACTTGAAGCCCTTTGCAGTAATTTGCAGCCTCCTTTAACACTAAATAGGTTTTTAAACTTTAAGCTAGAGATTTAACATTGATCTCAGTGATTGTTGGGTTACAAACTTGAACAGTTTCATATCTGACACCACTCTGCAGCCATCTGCCAGAAACATCACTTAACAGTTTTGTGGAGCAGGTAGGTGTTCTAGGGGGTGCTCTTTTACCTGCATTATAGCAGTTAGCTTTTTCAGTTTAATGATCATCAATAAAAAGCACATAAAAAAGAAGTGTACCTTTTTGTTGGCATCATGGAGTCTGGAAGTTAAAGTAAGAGAGTAATGACTTTGGAGGGGGGGTCTCAGTATGTCCCCTAACATTAGCTTCACAGTAAATAAATCAGAAGGCAGGTCATCTAAGAGGGCTTTGGTGCTGTAGTCCTGTTGTGTTATGCACAATTACACAGAAATGTCATTGGGACAAAAAAAAACTTGTGTCTACTTGTGAAAGAGTGTGGAAGAAGCATCAAACAAGGGGATAAATGTACCCTTATAGTTTACATGATCTAACAGAAGAATATCTTTCTATTTTAAAGTAGAATTTACCATCTTTTTTTCTCCTCAGGTGTTGATCGTGCATGTTCATACCTGAGCTGAGGTGTGTGGGCTATGTTAGGCACTCTGCAAGCTGATTTGTTTAACCCCTTGTAGGTTATTGTAGCATCAAATCACTTCAGACCTTAACTCATCCAAATGAAGTATTAAGATTAGGGCCTTTATCATAAATCTGCTATATTCAGTTTTATACATATCGCCTTAGTCAGTCCCTACTCTCCCAGCAGGTCCCGAGGTCCAGTGACCAAAGCCTACTGGTTGTGCAGCGCACCAGGCTACAGACCAAAGGTCTGACATCAGGATGTAGATCATTTGCTGCTGTGGCCCCCAGACTCTGGAACTCTCTCCCCCTGAGCCTGAGATTGGTGGACTCAGTGGTCTCCTTTAAAAAGCAGTTGAAACCTCACATGTTCAAGCTGGCTTTGGTGACCTTTAGTTGATTTTTTCTCACTGATTTCTATTCATGCTGGTGTTTCTACCAATTTCATATATTTCTGTCTCTTGTTTTTGGTCTTGCTTTTGAAACAGCCTGTGATTTGTATCTGTAAAGGTCCTGTAGAAGTAAACTTTACCATTTTAATACTTCTGCCCTCTGGGAGAGGATCTACAGATGGTAAGGGCCAATTATACTGTTACTTAATTACTGATCTTTACATGGTTTTCATTTTAACATTAGCTAATAAAAGGTTGGCAGTGACAGAAGTTTGGTCCTGATGACCAACATAGTATGGCTGAAAGGATTGACCTTTTGTCACTATGCCGGTTTAAGAGGGATGCTGCGACCTCTTCAGACAGGAACTGTTGGTTGTCCTAGGGTCCAGTATAAAGCGAGAGGAGATGGCTCCAAACTTGTAGACCTCATTGACAACATCTGTTATATATCATATTTCAGGCTTTAAAGGGTTAATACCGGTATGAGTCTAAACTATTCAGTGTGGAAAAGCTTTGAGACTGCATGATCACAGCACACTTTATTGCTAAACCCTACGGTCTGTCATCTCATGTTGGGTCCTATCACAGCAGATGCTGTTGTAGGAACATGTTTTCAGAGCAGAGCTGGACAAAGTTTCACTGAAACAAAACGTTTTATTTCTGGGTATAAATTCAGGCTGACGAAAATAAGTCGTATTCAAGATAAATGACTACTCAATAGTGCCAAAGGTAACATTTTGTCATATACTGTGCCTAGCTTTGCTCTCAGAGGTTTAAAATAACGTGAAATGGAACATTTAACTATATTTTATAGTAAACTTTTAAGACCAAGAAACTAAGACACAACCGACCAATCAAATCCACGGAATTTGACCCTTTTCTGTTACTGAAGCAAACATTTGAGACCATTTTTTGTCTCATAGCTACCAATATTTATAGAGATGTTTCTATTTTATAATGTACTCTTTGTTGTTTTCATCAAGAGGCTGTAAACTAAAAGACTTCATAGCTCTTTGTGACTTGTTAAAAAGTCAGCTGTTGTTTTCTGCTGACCCTGCAGCTCACCTCCCCACTCTGTCTTAATCCTCTGGATTAGGATTACAGTCCAGCCAACCACCTTGGATCATCACCAGTGTTCTTTCTACCTATTGTTCGTTCCATTTGGCACCTTCTTTACTTGAGCTGCTGTTGCACCAGTAGGGCTCTACCCTGTGAAGCATTCCCACACAGGGCATCTGGACCGGAGGATCAGATCATCCTTTCTACTTTCTGTTCATCTTTTGATGTATGTTCTTGTTAAGCGCCGTGTTTGACCCTGGATCTTTTAATAAGTGAAGCCCCAGTGGCTCAGCACCGTCTAGAAATACGAGGGTTACTTCGCTGTGTTGGAGATGACTTCTTCTCCCTCGCTTCCTCGTGTGGGCGTCTTCTGTCGGTGAGCCTACTCAACCTGTTCATTTCTGTAACTCCTCAGGAGGAAGTCTGATTTATTCCTTCATTTATGTTCATCTGGTAATAATTTACTGGATTCCACTGATTAGTAAAAGTTTACCAAACACTAGTTTAGTTGTAATTACAGTGAGATTTGCTAAACAATGAAATTAATCCTTCAAAATCACCAAAAAGTATCACTGAACGAGTTTAAGTTTCAGGTGTATGCTGTCATTAAGTGGGTCAGAACTGAGTCAGAGCTCAAGTCTGTCCTGAGTGACCCAGACGATGAACCAGACAGCAGTCCAAATTATTGCAATCTCATGCATTTGATCTAAGAAGTTAGTAAAACAAGATTTTTGCAATAGAACAGGTGATTATTGTTAATGTGCTTTATAATAAAGAGAACCTGATTGAGTATGTTTGAGTCATCCCACACTGGCATTATTTATCATCTTTAGTGAAACTGAAATGAGAGATGTGTTATTTTTGCTGCTGAAAATGCTTAAATTGTGGCACGAATCAGAACACTGGAATCAGCCTAAAGGCATCTGATGTAAAGTGTCACGAGCGTGCAGGTGAGGTGAGCGGAGGTGAGGATCCAAGTGCAGGGAAAAGAAGGCAGGCAGACAGACAGACAGACAGACAGGCAGACAGACAGACAGACAGACAGACAGACAGGCAGACAGACAGACAGACAGACAGGCAGACAGACAGACAGGCAGACAGACAGACAGACAGACAGACAGGAACGATGAAAGGATTTTAATGAAGGCACGCAGGACATCAAAACAATGATCCGACAAGACAAACAGGACTGAGGGTTTAAATACAGGAGGAGCTGGGACCTTGGGTGATTGGGAGACGAGAGGCAGGTGGGAGAAATTAACATGGACACAGGACTGAACAGAATGGGGAGACAGGACAGGTTGTGACATAAAGTAGAAGTTCTTCAGAGTGTAAAACCACTGGTGACAATATGAAGGCAGTCTCTGTTCCCTAATTTCTGCATCACTGCTGCCATCAAAATAGAGTAAAGGAGCTCCTTACTGGCCCAGAGACGAGATGAGTCTAGATTTCTTCTCAGTGATGATCCATCTCACGCCTAAGCCCATAAAGGTGAACTCTCTGCTGGTAAAACTTGTTTTATGAAACAGTTCAGTTTGAAGTAGCATTTTTTTAAACTAATGTGATGGACCAATGCTTGCCAAGGTAATACTAGCTTAATACAGCCAGAGGTATGTACGGGGTAGGTACCAGTTAAATACTAGGTACAT